GTGTGCAAGATGAAGCGCAGAATGATTGGTATCTCCTAGTCGGGCACTCTCACGCAGAGCGCTCTTTCTCTTACTTACATGCCTAGCGCCATTTCATGTGTAGATATCGTCAAAAGTGGTAAAGTATCTAGCTTCAAAAAGACGTCTGTCTTATATAGAACTAATATGCTCGTTACACATTGCGAGCGGGCATCAAATAGTTTTCTTTGGAGTTCGCTGAGTGTGCCACAGCCAATGGGAGCGCACTACGATTTGTATCTGCCTATTGACAGGGTATATGTCTAAGTGTGTGTGTGTGTGCGTGTGTGTGTGTGCGTGGATCATCGTTCAATATGCGTAACTACGCATTTGGCATTCATATTGAAGAGTACGAAACAAAGCGAAACGAAACGCAACGAAATGAAATTTTGGGGCATAAATCATTCAACTGCTAAATGACACAAACAAGTCTGTAAGCATTCCCGCTGCTGTTAGTAAAGCGAAGCTTAAGATACCCTGTAATATAGTGTTCCTTAAAAGAAAGTACACAAATATTCTCAAAATGTTTAATAGACATTTTTAAACTATTTTTAATGCTATATTTAACTTATTTGAAAGTGTTTTATTATATCTGCAAACTTTTAAAATATTTTTAAGCTTAAGCAACTTTCTCAAGCTGCGATTGATATAGACTTAGCGAGCTGTCAAGGCTTAACTTTAGGTATAAAAAATACTCGGAATACTTATAAAAAATACTCGGAATATTATAATATATTATAATAATAAATCTATTTTTATGTCATACATCTCAAATTTAATCCGATTAAGTTTCCTTTATTTGTTTTAAAATTTAAAATAAAATTTAATATTTTTGAAATTCATTTTATTGCTATACAAAAATTGAGTGCATAAAAGAACATATTTAAACAATCGAATTTTCAATCAACTCTTAAGACGCCAAGTCATAGATGCTCACACTACAATTTGGTGAGGGTATTTGAGTGCCTGGCAACAACAATGAAAAGCCACAATCAAATTCAAAATCTGCTAAAGAAAGCGTCGCCAGCGCTGTGTAAACAATTTGCTCGAGCATGAGAAAATTCTGTTTTATTGTCGCCCTCGCGAGACCTAGAGAACGCAGCAGCAGCAGCAGCAGCAGCTGCCTATTAGAAACTAGGCAAACATTTTGGTAAATTAACGAAATTAAAATGGTCCGCTTTTTAAGAGCTTCGCCTGCGACTGTGACTCAGTTCGTGGCCTAGGCCCAAGAGTCGCCCCAGCACATCGGAAATCTTATGTGCTGAGCCTATTTCGTGGGCATTTTATGAGAATTTATTAATTTCGTTTTTACAGTCGTCGATTTTTGTACAGCTTAACGAAATCAAAGTGCCGCCTTTGAAACTAAATTTCTGTTCACTTTTTGCGTGTTTGGAAATAAACAAATTTTTGACCTTTTTTTTTTTTGGGGGTACTCTGAGCTCTATTGTTTCCAGTTGAGTTTAGAGCGATAAACTCTTAAAATTAGTTTATGTTTGTTCAGCTTATTATTTGCTGTTGTAAGAGCTTCTGCGGTCGTGTCTAATGTGTACGCCTTACTATGCGATTTTCATGAATTCCAATAAGAATTTGTATCTTTAGATTAGTTAGTTTGAAGACAGAAATTCAAGTCTAAAAATTAGCTTACTTCCTGGCTTCTATGCCTTCCAGCTGCTTGGATTTGCAGCCAACATTCTCAAGATACCACTGCCTGGATCTTGACTTCAAATATAGCAAATATTCCCTTAATCATACCCTTTAGTTACGTACCTCTGCTGTCTTCCTGCTCTCTATCTTTCCAAAACAGTTTCGAAGAAAATCTCGTTAAGTAATACGAACAGCTCCTAAAATGCTGCTATACGTTTCTGGGTTGAATGGCCCATAATCTGCTAACTGGCTAAATGGAACTGAGGGCAAACAAGGCGAGCGAACGACTTCATTAGCACAACTTGGCTTATCAGTCAGGGAACAGGCCAGGCCCAGCCCAGTCCAGATTGCCTCGACTGCAATGCGTGCAACACAAATGGTTGTGGACGTGCAACATTTGACAACTATTGTGCGTTGATGGGGCTTGGTCCAGAGCGGTCGTGGCCTAGCCCCCATCCGGCTTTTAGCTAATAACAAGACAACAAACAACAAACAACAAACATTTCATTAGCCATTAACGTGTGCGTCTCTCGCTCTCTCACGCTCTCTCTCAGCTAGCGTCTTTCATGGTCAAACGTGCAGCAAAACGGAGCATAAGAAATGTCAGTGTCAACGTTGCCAATTGAGTTGTTGCCACAACAACAACAGGCCGTTAACATGCTGTAGCCAGAAGGCGCTCGACTTGTGGATACCCTGCCAAAAACTGCTGTTGACTATTTTAGCTCTCTTATGGGCATGCAAACAGCAAACACACACACACGCACACACACCCACCCAGACGATAAACTAAAATACCAATTTATGTTATGCAACTCAAGTCTCTTTCATACACTTTCATTTCTCTCTAGTCTCTGCTCTTTAGGCTGAACTAAGCCCGCTCTCAGCTGTCGTCGATCTGCTGTCTCATATACCCTTCTTTGGCACACAGAGTGATCTTAGGGCATAAGACAAAGTAGCAGCCACACCCAACCCACCCATCGCCCACCGCGCCCTGAGGCAATGCGTCGCCTTGGACTTGGCTGGGTGGCAATCGTCTAGGTTTCAATGCCCCCGCGCAGGCAAAATTCTATATATGTATATGCAAATGCCACACAGCTGCAGCAGACTGAGACAACACCAACACACGCCCGCCTGTGTGTATGTGTGTGTGCGTGTGTGCGGATTCTAAAGTTAACCGCATGACGAATCACTTCGCATAAATTGAAACGCTACGTTGCATGTGCTGCATGTCTGCTCAAGAGGCCAAGCGACTGCGAGTGCAGCTCGTGGGCTGCGGCGGGGTCAAGGGCGTGGCGGGTGCAGGGTGGTGCCGCCAGCCGGGCTCCTTTAGCCAAAAGTGCGTTGCCAACGCCTCATAATTCTTACAAATGCATATGTGTGGGGTTTTGCTGCCCTGCTGGCCGCATGGGGGCGCGCTGTAAGCTGAAAGCCTTTGACGGCAAACGTTGTTGTTGTTGCAATTGCAGTTGCAGTGGCAGCTCGTTAAATCGTGCAGCGTTGGCCCAACAACCCATACTATTCTCATTTCTGTGCCGTTCCTGCTAATTACGCATACATGCGCACAGTTGCTTCCATTGGCTGTGCGCGTTCATGCGTGCACTTAACGCGATAACTCAATTTTGTTGCTTATCATCACACATCAGATATTATTATGTATATTGGTCTATAACTGATACAATTGATATATTTACTTAGTGTCACGAATCGCATTTCAAGTTAAATTCTTTAACTAAAGACTGTTTTCTTTAGAGTCTTACAACTTTGAGTTGGTAAGACTGCTTTAGTTAACCTTCCATTGAACAGCTTAGCATGGCTTTCTGTTGAGTTTAGTTTGACATTTTAGAAAATATTTCATAACAAGCTCTTATCCAGAGCAAATAAGCGTTTTGTGCGTTTTATGGCTGTTGCATATATCTTCAAAAACGATAATGGGATGACGAGTTCCAGATTGCACAGTGAAAATCTTGATGACAATAGTGATATTTAAACAAAATCATACAATTTTCTATTCAATAAAGTCTGTTTTATAAATACCTTAAGCATATTTTGTATATTTTATTATAATTTAAGTTTGTATAGCTCTAAAAAAAGCTACCAATATATAAAATAAAAATATATTATATGAAAAAATTATGAATTAAATTTATATAATTAAAAATTTTCTTGTGAATATGTAACAAATAGAAATATATAAAATTCGATTTCAATTGCCATTGAGTATAAGACATTCTAATCAGATTCCAATTAGAAAAGTTCGCCTATAAGATTCTTGTGTATCTCCTCAGTTCTTTGCACGCATGAACCTTGATGTACTTATATAAGTGTGTGTGTGTGTGTGTGTGTGTCTCTTCTTAGCCTCTTGCTGCGTCCATCTGTGTGTATGTACGTATGTGTATGCTGCATACTTTATATGTAATAACTTATGTCGTTTGCGGTTTATCTTTATTTTTATTCATTTTTACCTTCACGACTTTTGTCATCAAGTGAAGTGCACTTGAAATGCATTTTGCAGCAGTTGCAAGAGTTGTCAGCCTAAAGCTGTTCATAATTTGCAGTAAGAAAGCAAATGCTTAGAATAGACATAGGGCAGGCCACAGGCCTGGAGCTATGACTCTACAGTTCAATTGGATTAAAGTGTATTGGACTGGGCGAATAGCATTCAGCACATTGATGAGTCTCTTGGCTGTTGGCAGTTGGCCGTTGACTTGTTACTGTTGGCATTGAGCACGGTAGGCCCAATTATTATTGGGCAAGACAAGCCCATCAATTGCGCCTGACGAATGCCGACGACAGCTGCATTATCTAATTTCTGAAACATGTCACTACAGATTAAGGTCACACGTATCACCGAGCCCAATCCAAATCTGACAATGGGAGATTATAGAAACTGGCTCTGCCGTCGAATTCGGGGCTCGGCTTGCTCGTCTACGCCCACGTTTCATGAATACCGACCAGCTGAGCCTCAACATGCCGCAGACTGCTGTTTGTCAAATTATTTAGGTATCCTTTACGTAAACAGACAACCACACACACATATTTATGCATATATATATATCGATTGTCCCTCTACTGGGGACTATATCTTTCAAAGTTCCAGAGCTGGAGTACCAAAAATGATATGAGTGTATGCCTACTGAGAACGTGACCCGTTAAATGGAACAGTTGAGTTAATGCAACTGCCTCGCTGACTACTTTGCCAAAAAATGTTGAACTGTTTAGGGATCTTGAATGATGTCTCAATATCTCTTATAACCCTTAACAAACATATGAAAGAAGACACCGTTAATATTTTAATTTATTAATTTTTAACTTTTAATTTTTAATTTTTCACTTATCTATAAAGAATTACATTTCTTTCGTTCAATTTGTTTATAAATAACTTATCACAGTAATTTTGACGTTCATTCATATCACATCTGGCGTATATACTGGGCAGTATAAATGGTAAACACGATATAAAGTACTAAAATCAGAAAATTAAATAATTAATACAGATATTTAGATTGGCAAAAAGCAGTTCATTGAAACTTGCCTAATGGATAGATCAAAAATATAATAAATATAGTAGGAACCCAGACTAAGACTAACCCTATTATTAGTACTGTTTTCTTATTCTACAAGAGAAATAGTTTATTATATAAAATAAAATACGTAAATGACGCAAGTAAAGTATTTACCTTTTTTACACCAAGTATCATTAGCACACCACCAATCATACCTACCAAATTACAAATTATGAGGACTAAGAAAAGAGTAGGTCCTATAAACCAGAGATTTGGATCTGACGAGCCTGTTAAGAAATTAGTATTATTGTTTGAATGATATATGTCCCGAAATCAACATACAGTATTTTACTACTGATCCTAAAAAATAAAATATTCCATGTGCAATAGACCAAATCGCCAAAAAATAAACTTTGCAACGCAGACTACAAGATCCATCCTGACACATTTTTAACTATTTATTATCACAGTAAATTTTTTACTTATATTGCTTTTTTTTTTTTTAGAAAATTAGTGTATGTTGAGCTATACTAAAAATACTAATGAGTCCACTTTTCATATATTGCTAAAAAATCTAACGATTATTTCAAAAGCCTACCTAAATATAATAAATCCATTTTACATTTTTAGAAGCTGTGTAGCAGGCAGAGGGAGGCGTAGCGGAGTCATATATATATGAATATATATATTCTTTATCAGTGTGACTAGCTGAGTCGACATAGACTCAATATATCGATTATTCGCTCCCATTTCACTGCAGTCTAACTAATGCTACTCCAGGTAGCAGGCAAAGTTGATCGATTTATTGTGTCTTCTGCTGCTCTAGAAATTTTTATTTTGAGCAAGCTCAATGTGTGAGAGAGGGAAAGATGATTAGAAAAATTCGCTGTGCTCCAAGGTCAGGCCAAGTGCAACATCGAGTGCGGCAAGTCTTACGGCGCAGACGGAATACTGCTTATTTTTATACTTTAATGCCCGGGCGTATCTGTCGACACCAAGAAACAGCAACAGCAACAGCAACAGCAACAGCAACAGCAACAGTCAAAGCCATGGCCACATTCAAGTTGCAACTTCGTGCACGACGTGTAAATATTGTTTCAGGCTTCGCCTCAGCTGGAGTCAAAGAGCTGGGGGCAGGCGAGGAGGCTGCCACAGAAAACGAAAACGTTGTTGAGACGCATTTAGCGCTAACAATGTTTGTTCTGGCTAGCAACATCCCAGCAAAACAGCTACACAAACTCCAAGCATACTACTTAGCGAACGGGCATAGGCGACTGCGCAATGCTCTCTTCAATAACTGCATCAAAATGCAACTGCAATGACTTTCAAACTGTAACACGAATCAATATAGATTTAGCTTAGCTTAAATAGTTTTTGTTATTTTCTTTCTATCACTATTAGAGCTTCTATTTAGTATTGGCTTACACTATTAGTTGTATATGTAATATACCCATCTCTGTCGCTTGCCGAACAGGGTATACAAGCTCGTTTTGTTGTTTACTTTTGTACGCCGCTTTCAAGTTGATCCCGCGACCGGCAAGTCGCCTGGCCGCCTGGCCGTCGTCAGCCCCTTTGCCATGCCGTCTTCATCTTCAAGGCTCAGCACCCATTCCCTTACATGCTGGGCAGGCCGTGACACCACCCACCCCTTGCCCACAGTCGGCATGCCAAGTGCACATTTCAATGTCATTGAGGATCGCAGAAGAGTTTTTTTTCGCTCTACTCTTGCAGCGATTGATGTAGGCTCCAAGTGTTGAATGCTTCATGGCATATAATGTGTTAATTGTGGCGGCCGGGACAGATGTTTCCGACTAAGCAGCTAACTGGCCATTTGCCGGGAATTGTACAAAAAAAAAAGCAGCAAATTCTGCTTATTAAATGTGATAATCATAAATCATCTTTATGGCAATTGAAAAGCGCGTTAAATGCGCCGCCTGTGCGAATTGTGCTGCTGCTGCTGCTGCTTTTTCTTCTTCTTTCACTGGCTTTTTTATTGTAATAAATTCTAAAACTAATTTCCGTAACTTCAAAAGGGTTGCCAGGCCAGCCTTTACACCCCTTCGGCTGCAAGCAAATTAGCTCACTTTTGTTATACGATTTTTTTGTATTTATTTATGTTTTCTTTTCTTTTTTTTGTGTTTTTTTTTGCTATTTTTCGTGGCATTTTTAAATTGAATTTTAATTTTGTGCTGAGCAGCGCGCAGCTAATTTAAATTGAGACACATGCAGGCGCCAATAATTAAAAGCGCCCCTTCATCCTTTATCCTTTTTCAGTGTTTTGTTCTTACTTTTCTCTCAACTGCAACTGTTGGCAACCGTGGCGCGCCCTTTGAGCCACGTGATGCAGTACATTTTCCACATGAAATAACCACAAAAAGTCAAGTTTTCTTTTCGTTTTGTTGTTGTATTGAAAATGGGTTAAATTTAATTGCTTTTGTCATTTTGATTTGCATTTTTGTGCTGTTAGCAATTTGTCCGGCGATTGGGGCACAAAACGTTCTCCAGGGCATCGTACATCTTGCCGCCTGTTCATGCTATATACCCTGTATTTTTCAGTGAATATGGCGAGAAGTGTGCTTTATGGTATTACAAGCAGATACTCTAAGACAAGATACTTGGATAACTAATTTAAATCACTCCATTCGTTTGCAAATGTATCGAAATTTTCCAATTAAGCTTAAATTGTATTTTCGATAAGTATCGATTTTGCAATTAGCTCTAAGATTTCTTGTATCCAGCCAACTAACTCAGATTCTTCTTCAAGTCATTCCTGTCGCTCGCCTCTATACCGATTGTTTAGAAATTTTCAAATTGGTGTGAGTAAGTAGTTTCGATAAATATCGATTTCCAATTGCCTTTAAGACTCTCTTGATTTTTTTTATAAGTGTATTATAATATTTCCATATACAAGATATTCCTTTCAAAATGTATATTCAGGGTATCTTCACGTTGTGCACTCCCTTCGTGAGCAACTTGCATTTTTTTTCTGCTTCTTTTTTATACAAAAAGTAATTTATCAAAATAAAAAAGGAATACATATTTTGGGCACTTTTCCAGGCGCACTTTTCTTTTGTCGCGTAATTAGAAAGTAAAAAAAAAAAAAGAGTTGAACTGTCGCAAAGGGTTAGAAGGTCGATGCTGTCAGCATGGCATGGTCATAATTTTGGATTTATATTAATATACGTGATTTATGGAGAAGCTGAAATTATGATGCCCTTTGCGTCAAGTCGCAATTAGCATAAGGAATCTGCCCTCATATGATACTGGCGGCTGCCTAAACAAATAATTCTATTCATTCAGCCAAAACTGAATTTTGTTTATTTGCTTTAAATTACGCCACTAAATATGTGTTTTCTGAGTGTGTGTGTGTGCTCGTGTTTTTTTCCTTTTATTATTCTGTAATTTATAGCGCTTGCTAAATGAACCCCAACTGCTGGCAGTGGAAACAACATGACATTTGGTTATGTATAAGAAATTGGAAATTGGACTCCAAACTTCAACAGCTCCAATCCCAAAGACCCGCTACTGACTGCTGAATACTCGTTCAAGTTTCAAGTGGAGCTGCATATAAAGTCGCAAAAAACTTTTGTGATTCAGCTGAACTTTATGATCGTAGCTCTAAAGCTATGGTTGATAGAGGCGCATTGGGAAATCGATCTACAATCTATGGAAGATTATCTAAGGAATATAGGGTTCAAGGCTTAAGTCCCATAGCAACAACCAATACACTCTATATACTTCTTGAACGAGCATTAAAAACACATGCTGTGTTTGCTTAGAGCAAATCAGTCCAAATAGCGTCACACAATATGGCTGAGGGTGTCAGAGGTTTTTTTTGTGCTTTGGGGAATTTCGATTTGATAAGCACAAGTGTCTCTTGCATATAAATCATTTGCATGTAACTAGCTCAAGTAAAGGCAATTGGAATTTCCTTCTATCTCTCACAGATACCAAAAACAATATGGTTTTATAGAATTCAAATTTCCAATCACTTTTCATATCGCAGCAATTGAAAATCGTATCGTTTGCCTAAGTGAAATAATCCAGAAAATATTTTGAAAGATATTTTATATTTGTGTGCTTAAGAAATGATGTATGGCAAAATATATTAATGGACTTGTGAACTACGTCTATCCAATATGTCGCTTACTCGATCTATCGATTTTGTTAGTCAAGTACGATCGTTTAATTAAAAAATCGATAAGAGCTTAGTAGTTTAATGACTACAGACATCGCTGGTTCGATCTAGTGCTTTGTCGACTCTGTCTTTGTTATTCCTAACCAATCGATATGTTATCGATACATTTCGATTCATTGTTATGGCTAGCCAATATATTTAATAGAGATTTAAAATCGAATATCGATTTGTTTTGATATAGAATTTATATTAATTTATATATCGAATTATCGAATGTATATTGATATACATGCTGATATCGAATATTGACTTTTAGCATATTTAGTCGAATTGTGTGTATGTGCGTTAGCTATAGAATGTGGCTTATCGATAAGTAATCGATAATCGAAACATGAAAACTTTTGTACATAATCGAATGAAGTATTTATGTATCGATATGTGAAACGGATATATACGCTCTCCAGAACTGACCATCATCTTAGAGACAGCCTTGTCTTATATCGAAGGAATGTGGAGTGATTCGATAGACTTAAGATACTTCAGTGATTCGACTGACCATACTGCATTGATGAATTGACTCCCCTCTGAGGATCGTAACTCATATCTGTGTCTGTCTATCTGAGACACTGCCACAACGAGCGTGCCGACTATTTTAAAAGACTCCAAGGTAGCTGCTGCTGCTGCTGCTGGTGATGGTGGACATAGCCCAGTGCTGACGAGAGAAACGTGATCTCTGAACGATTGTGTGCGCACGATTTGCGATTAATCAAGCGATCCTTGCTGGGAAATCAGTTTTTAATCTGCGTGTTGTGGGCTCACTCCACCGTAGCACCGTCCCGCCATCGCAGCCCGCCCACTCCAACTGCAGACAACAGCAGAGCTGCAAAACCAGCCGATTGGATGGACTGCGGCTCGGCGCAAATAATTAAATGGCCATTGTGCAAAAGTGCAACAAGTATCTAGCAGATGCATGCGAGGCTAAAGCTAAAAACATATGGTTGGCACAACAAACCTCCTGCCTTACTTTAATTTCAGCTCCTTGTGGCTGACACACATAGATGTGTATGTGCACACACATACACACATGTGTGTGCATGCATGCATGAGTCTACCTACTGACACCGACATCGACACCGACTGCGCACTGGGCTACTATGACGTGCAGCAGGTACACACACAGATGCAGATACAATTGTATCTGAACGTTTGCAATTGTGGTGCAGCGCGCCCTTTTATGGTCGCTGTCGCTGGCGCTGTTTGCGTTTGCGCAGCAGCGTGCGATCGTTGTGCAATCAGTGGAGCATTAAGTGCCGACGATGAACCGGGCCTGGGCCCTGGAC